AACTGTAGAAAAATAGGGAAACCCTCACAGTCAAAAACACTGGTCCTTGGGCAACGTCCAACCGCATAGCCCGACGATTTCGCATCGGGAAGGTTCTATGCAAAAATAGTAAATCTAGTTAGTCAGTCATATTAACCTGGCGGACAAGACCTACTCTGAGGGCTGTTAACTTCAATTTTAAGGTTGCTAGGGCGTCTAAGTATATAAAAGCATTGTTAATCAGGTTAAAGTTTGCGAAAGTTTTAGTAGAAAATGAAAGTGTTTCAAGACAACATAGTATCCGTTGACCTGTCTGGTCGATCTAAATGTTTCCTTACAGCTTGTACTCAGTTTCTTAATAGGTCCAATTTTTTATTTTCATTTTTAACTTTAGCTTTGCTAATTTTCGCATATCATTTGTTTAGTTTAAAGTCGATCCTTTTCCGGCTGGCGCTCCCCCTCTCCGATGTCTATGAGAATTTGCAAAATTTTGTGGCGCACTTCAGGTAATCGCAGCTTCTCTGTCCCATTGCTATACCCTAACAACATCTGTAGTCTGACAAACAGGAACATCCACTTAAAACCCCAGGAGGCTCTTCTCATGTCAGCTGCCTTGCTCTACCTCCTTCGAACCTATGTGGTATGCCTTCGCAGTGAAGACGATACCTTGGAGCGACTGTCAAGCATCATTGCCGGTTTGGGCGTGGATGCAAAGAAGTTCTACGCATCACTTGAAGACATTTTGTCTCAGGTCAAGTCGGCTGCTGAGGACGACTTGCCAGACTGATCCGTCAGGAAAGACGCTCTGCTGACCTATTTCCCCTCATGCATTTGTACAGAAGATGACTTGTAAATTAAATTATTTTCTTTGTGTACAGTCTTTTGACTCTGTAGTTCCTGGACCAGCGGTTGGCTGCATAGTTTGAGGACATTTACTTCAGACAGACACCGACTTCCTTTGCTGTCTAAAGGGTAGCCAACGGACGCAGGGGAAACTGACTTAATTTCTGTCACCGGCTAGCCGAATGCCCAACCACTTCAGCTACTGATACATCATGAGCAAGGAAGACAGGCCGAGCATTAGAACAGTTTGTTTATCATTCTGAGCTTTCATACTCGTACAAAAGTTCATTGTCAGCAGCAAACAGTCAACAATTAT